TCTGTTTCATGTGTTGTGTCATCTCTTTGTAGTAGACTGGGCACGCACACAGTTTTGACCGTTCTCCATCAGGAGAGCGATCACTGGCTCAAGCTRAAGCTGCAGCAGCTGCACGGGGAGTTGCACCAAGAACCACCGAGGCTGCACCCCACCAAACCCAGGCTCAAGTTGGTCCCCTGGACCCATTCAATTTAATACTTCATAGATGTAGTCTTTGATTCTGATGGAGCTAAACATGCAGAAGAACTTTGCTGAAGACAATTGATTTGAGCCACTGTAGAACCAGGGCAGGTACAAATTCCGGCTAATTGAGGAAAAAACCTACACCATGTCCTAAGTGAAATGAGAAGATAGATCGTGCTGGCTAATGCTGCTAGGGGAGCTCATGTTCCTCTGTGCAACAGGTAAATCCACAGCCGAAAGCCAGTGTGATGGCTTCTTTCTTCACTCAATAGTAATTTTTTTTTTTTTTTTTGTGAATTGGTGCTCTCTCATTAAACATCAATTATTAGAAAGATATTTTTGAGAGAAATTCAGTAATTTCCCTACCAAACACTTTATTAGTAAACTGAAAATTTTGTGTGTAGCTAGCGTTCCTGGTACGTACCTTTGATTTGTTTTGTGGATGTGCCTCTCAGAAAATCTAGTTTCCTGCTTTGGTTTCCTACAGCTTCTAAGAAAATTAAAATATGTTCTCTATACAGAGGATGGTATTTAGAGTTGCTTTTTGATGGCAAAAACCCTAGGGTTCCCATCATTTTCTGAAAAAAAAATCCTTTTCTGACATTTTTGTCAACCAATTTTTGACACCATTTACATGCTTGTCAGTTTGGAATGCAACAAAAATCCAGTGCTTGTATTAATCAGAATGTGTAAATAAATATCATGTAAGTATATATAAACTGATTTCAAATTATATAAACTCTAGCTRCTTTGCTTTTAGAAATTGCTTTGTCCTTAGGAAATATTAATAGTTCATTATATTTGAAAAAGCAGTATTAAGATAGTGAAATTAGCATATAAGTCACTAAGATCACACAACATGAAAGTTTAATGCTTCAGATACTTTGTATGCTGTTTTTATTGGAAATATAGCATATTTATAAGGTATCCTTCTTAGGATACRGATCGCCACATTGCCACAGCATTGCATGTAACACATTTGTAAAGCTGATATAGAAAACCCCCTGTTTCTCGGTGGCTCCTGCAGTGCATCCCTGCTGAGAGGCTCCTGGAGAGCCAGTGCAACCCACAGYGTTAACAGAGTGATGGGGGGTCTGGGTCACTCTTCCCCTCTGTGCTACACAAACGGAGTTTTCCGTTTCCATCCCTGGCTTTCCATCTTAACACGGGAACACTGGATTGTTTCCCAAACACGAGCAGCAGAGATTCTCCCCGTGCCTCCTCGCCGTGGGAGGGGAAGGTGTCGGAGCTACTGCTTTACAGATGGGCAGGAGCAGAGTGAGAATAAATATTCAAGTTTCCTTCCGTAGTTGCTCATGTCTCACCATTGGAAATGTATGTGACCACTGCTTAATAAAACTCTCATCCATATTTTCATTCTTAGCATGAAAGTTTAAAAGCTGCTTGCTTGGCTYGCTGGTGTGAACTCAGGTTCAGTTCCCTGATCCTCCCTGTGGTTGCATTGCAAGGATGAAGATAGATTAGATAAAGAGAAATCTGGCTTTAGGATTAAAAAGTAGACCTGTAATCAGAACGTTGATTATGCATAGTGTTTTGCATTAGTTGTTTGTAATATTTTGGGGAGAAACTAGGGGAAGATATCTGTGTATTGCAGCAGAGTCTGAGGGCATGTGTGCAGGTACAAAATTCTCTGTAACTGCACGGTGAGAAATGAAGAGGAAATAGAATTGGCAGAGACTACCTTATCTTGTGAATGTTGATGAGAGTAAACAAAGTTCAGTATTAATTCAGCTATCTAAAAATAAAACAGCTACACACACACGAGGTTTGTTTTTTGCAAGATGCTTCAATGAGCTCTCATTTCCAAATACTTCAGTTGGGAAACCTGACAAGCACCTAAACATTTCTGTACCCCTTCCTGAGAGCTGACTTGCGTTCTTAGTTGATATTTGTCATTCTGCGATCAAAATGTTATTTTAGAAAATGCAGGAATATCAGTGGAGACTTGTTTTTTTTACTCTTTTCTTTTCCCAGTGAATAACAATGGATTYTCCATCTATCTTTCACACATTTAGCATTTTTAGTACAAGCTGGAGTTTGTAGGAATTAGTACAATTAATGAAACTCTTTGGTAGTGGGMTGCTGTAATTTTTATTCTCTGAGGTTGAACTTTAGTCAAACAGGTCTCCCATTATCCCAAAAAAGCCTCTCGCTAATTTAGGGAGAGCATCAGTCTTGCTGGAAGACTATCTGTTTTTTATTCTGCTAGTGAGATGCATGCCTACAGCATGACATTTTATGAATCTGACTTCTTTTTCTCTGTAAGAAAATTGATCATTTTGAAAGATTTGTTGAAGGCTGGAGATTTTTTAGTAATTATTTTGAATTTTCCCAAGAGGAATTGATAACTTGTGGGACATGAGTGACTATTACAGGGACTTTTTTTTTCCTCTGTAGCAGGTCTTGCTTATAACCTTCACCTGTGAGAACTGAACTATGTGCCTGGTTTGCTTATTAGTCTGCATTGTCATCTTTTTATGTGGAAAGTTTTAGGAAGGGGATGAATTGACTTTAAATTACGTGTGAGTTATTTAGAAATGTAAAATACTTCTGAATAATTCTGCAGAAAATAAAAAGGTGATTAGAAAATGGTACATTATTTAGCTCTCAGAAGTATTGTCAAGTGTTAAACAACATTTAAAAAATGCATTTATGGATTCTACTCAGATGTCTAAGAAAGATCTGATGACATGAAGGTTGTGTCTTTAAGTCATCTTCCAGAAAAGTTGTATCTTTTAGTGAGCTTAATTCATAATTATGAGCCTGAAAACGTTCTAACCTGAAATCCTAGGTGACGCGCATTGAATCAGTATTTTCACAGTAYGTACTGTTCCTTCAGTAAATAACAGTATCAATACAGCTAATAACCTCTTTCTGCTCCTTATAATTCAGCCTTTTTAAGAACATCTTGGGAGCATTTTTAATTCCTGAGGCTCCTAAGGGGCTGTTGTTAGAACCTTTCCTTGCCGTACCTGCCGTCGGAGGGTCTCTATGAGAGCAGCTCTCTTCTTTCTTTCCAAATAGCATATTCGTACTCTTCTTTCTTTCCAAATGGCGTATTCTTATTCTTCTTTCTTTCCAAATGGCAGCTGAGGGCTGCTTGTTGGGGAGGCACTTCACCAATTTAGATGTCAAGCAAGGGAACGGGGAACACGCTTTTTCAAATGCTTTAAGCAGCTGAAAGACTTAATGTCACTTCCACAGATTGTGTAGGAGTTCCTTTAGTTTACTTAGGGAAAAGRGGGGAAAAAAAGAWGAAATACTACCTSTTAACTTGAGTTTTTAGAGGGCAACTCATGTGCATAACTTTCAGTGTCTCCCAATGGCTTCTCTCTTTCTCTGAAATGGAAATCTAACCCATGAACTGATAGTAAAATGATCCTCCTTTTTGCAACTACATGCTTCACTGTGATGAAAAAGATACTAAGCAGAGAGAGAGGGTTAAATAATTCCTAGGCTGCCCTGYTGGTCTAGGTAGGATACATGATGTGTTACTATATTTTACTTAAATTGACTGTATTGAGGCCACATGCTGCAGTTCTGTTGTTGTTTGCCCACCTAAAGTAGAGAGACGCAGTAGATTATGTGAGGCAATATTTGATTTGATGTTCCTTTTTTAAGAAGGCTTGGATAATGTGCTACTGCCAGTATGGGCAGGGGAAGACATTTGATAGGATAAAAATGTATTTAATTCCACCTAATTTTATCCATGCTTATAAAAAATGTAGCATAAATATTCAAGTTATAGGAAGTCTGTCATCAAAGGAAAGAAAAAGGCATCCCTACTGAACAGCTCTGAGATACATGGTATGGTTATAGCTGTCCATGGACTGTAAAAGGACTCTACACAACTGCCATTACTGCAGTTGCTTCTAAAGGTAAACGCTGCTTCTCAATGGCTGGAAATGCTATGAATTAAGTAATTTGTGTGGGGAAAATTCTAAATCCATCTTTTTTTTTTCTTGCAGTTTTCAGTGGAACTTATTTGTTCCACTATGGTATATRCCCAGTAAGGTTCAGAAAGCAAGCACAATTTTGTGGTTGTTGCTAGTATTTTAAGTATATTTTTGAATAAACTACAAATGAAACTCAAGTTATTAAGTTAACTTTTTAGGATTCATATTGTTAATGCAGAAAGAGCTGTGTTGTTTTTTATTTTTTATGTGAAAAATATATATTAGCAGGCTTATACCCACCAAGACAAATACCATAATTAGCAATTTTCTTTTTATTGTTAAGCAGTTATRATTGAGATGATGTCATTTTGATGGACTGATCCATTTCCCTACAAACATGCATACTCTCTAAACATTCATATTTCATAAACATTACATTTAATAAAGTAGTTTTATAGGCCTGGGTGGTTTCTTTCTTGTTGAAAAGCCCATCATTTAATTACTGATCCGAAATGTGCCAGACCTTYGTGGATAGATTCATCCAGTATGATGCAACCATTGCCTCATCTACACTTTCAAGATACTTCACAATCATTTTGAAACTTGTAAACCCATAAATTATTTCTAAAGGCAGAAACAGGTGAGTGTATTGTCTGCAAAGAGGGGCACGATGCTTCCTGTCCTCTGCATAATTGTGAAGGGAGAAAATCTGATTTTAGGTGCTCATGGGGTAGCCGTTACAGCAGTCAAGGTCTGTATTGTCATTGGTAGGGACAAGGAAGGAAGCCAAGCACTTCTGTATATATATCTGTATATATGGGAATCTGAATAGTTAGTTGAAGAGTAACATTTCAAAAGCAGATGATAACTTCTTGTCTTTGTGTTTTTTTCTTTTGATAGGAACAGATGTCTCAGGTGTTGGACGCGATGTTTGAAAAGCAGGTTGAAGGAGGAGAGCATGTCATTGATCAAGGGGACGATGGTGACAACTTCTACGTTATTGATAGGTAAATGTTTGTGCTGAATTCCTTTCAGAAAAATCTGCTTTTTTTTCTTTACACAAATTTGATTTTTATGTATATTTGCATGGGAGAGAGAAAATATAATGCATATGAACCAGCACAGCTGTGTTTGAGCTGTGGAGGGTCTTTTTTTTTTTTTTTTTTAATTGGAATTTGTCATCCTTCTTTAGGTATTGCTGAATCCCAAAGACTTTTTTTTTCCCCCCACCAAATTGAGAGAGATCTAATACAAAACATAGTGTGAACTTTTTTGCAACTTTAGATTTGAAATCTTATTGCAGTCTTATACTATATATACAATTTCTGGTTCCTATGAGTATTAYTAGGGCTTAAGCAGCTAAGTTACCACATTTCATCTGCAGATCTGTCTTGGGTAAAGCTAAGTAAAATCTTCAATGTTGCTTATTGCTGAAGCCCATGCGTTTGGAGGAGCTTATACTTTGCTATTCTGCACTTGTCATTTGGCCAGGCTCTGACCAGGCTGTGCCAAAACACCTTGGCTTGTTTTGTGCCTTCAGCTGGAAGCTTTGAGAGTGACTTTTGAGAGTGTTTGAAAGGAATGTTATCCTTGAACTCAAAAAAGAAATCCAAGTGGGGTTGGTCTTTTTTGAAGACAAGCTTGAAAGTGTCAGGAGTCAACGTTGCTTCAGCTTTGTGAGATTTTGGTTTGACATCTCCTACTCAAAAAGTCGCAAGGACTTAACAAAATGGTGTCAACCTTGCAGGTTTKAGGTCCAGAGAATCTCCCCTAAGATCCTTATCACAGGGTCATGGTACAGATGTTTGCACTGCATCTGCATGATCTATCAAGTACAATATATATCCTCTGGCCTGAACAAAGTAATGACTCAGTATCAATGAGAATGGCTGGAATGAGTTTTACAATGTGAAATTTTATGCCTCTTCCAGAGCAAAGAAGCTACCTACCTAGTTAATGAAGGGAAGAAGAAATATGCATTATATTAGATAATTATATGATCTCATCATTTCATAGTCTTATGTTGTATTCATATACACTAATTCTGTGTCCTCATCTCCTTTAATTAATGCATTAAAATATACTAATTGCTACTTTAAAATATTTAAAATGGCCAATAACCCTTTTTTTTTTATTGTCTGTATCATAGCCATTTTTGGCTAAAAATCAAGGCTCGTTTCATTTGTGTGCACTGTGGTTGAAAGGAAACTAAGAAACACTGCTACTAAGTTTGAGTTTTTATTTTTATTATATGCAGCTCTGGTTATTAAACATTGTAAATCAGGTTTTCCTTAAAATGGGTTACTTCCAATAAAACAACAAATCTATGCCTTCCTTTAAAAAACAACTACATATGGTATTTATAGAAATGATCGGTATGGCCCTGCAAGGTGCTTAGTATCATTTAAACAAGCAAAATACTTTTTTCAAAATGCCTTATCTTTAGAATTCATGGTATAAAATAATATAATGACTGGCTGCYTAGCAAAGAACAGGAGGAACTTCCACTTACTGTATTTATGTATTTTTTTTAACAGAGGCACATACGATATTTATGTAAAATGTGATGGTGTTGGGAGGTGTATTGGGACCTATGATAACCGAGGCAGTTTTGGTGAGTTGGCCTTAATGTACAACACGCCCAGAGCAGCTACAATTATAGCTACCTCTCCTGGTGCCATCTGGGGATTGGTAAGTGAAATACTTGTTTTAGAATATTAGCCATTTGTTTTAAATGTTTTATATAAATCACCGTGATATGCTATATCTGCATCAAAAATGATTGATAATTTGGGAAAGTTTAATTTTAAAACACTCGTTTTAAACTAGTATGTTCTCTGGGAACTAGAGAAACAATGCTGAAAGGCTCAAGAAAGCACTAATCTCTCTTTTTATATATATATATATATATATATATATATATATATATATATATATATGTATGTATGTATGTATTTTCCTATTTTAATGAAAATTTTCCAAACTGAAAAACACTGACAGTCACTTTGACATATATGTATATATTTTTATATATACAAAAAWATATATATAAAATATATAATTTTATTTATATATATATACMTATATATTTATATACACACATACACATATATAAAATCCCATGTCTTGCTATGAAATGCATTTGATTCTGAGTAAAATGCCAAAGTAAGGCTATTTGTCAGTGTCTGGACTATTGAGCAACAATAAAAATTTCCAGAGGTGTAAAGCTCAGATAGATGTTCAGCGTCAAGGCACACATACTGATCCAATGACAAATCCCAGGGTCACCTTAGCCCTTGAAGGGACATGTAGGCTTCTGCACCATCCATTTAAATACCAATGATTTGCTAAAGAGCTGATGTGAAAATTAGTTTGAAAACCATTAAACCCCAACTTTTCGTACAGAGACTATCCTCTCTTGATAACAAACATACAGCTGAACTCTAGAAATGTAGAGAAAATGCTTCCTTTTCCTGCTTTGCATCACATAGTGTAAGGCTAGGATATATATTGTTCACTCCACTCAATTTTCTGCTTAAGACCAAGCTTGTTAAGGTCAGCTCTCTAACCTGTGCATAGCCAAAGGGCAGAGAAGCTCTTCAAAGTGTGAATTAAATCAAGAGTTCAAGTTCAGGTGTTCCTACCCGACCTCGAGGGAAATCTTTCATGGCTGACTATAGGGGGAGCCTAACTGGCTAAATTAAATAACTAAAACTGGGTGATATTTTTTTTTAGTCATTTTAAAAGCATTTTCTACTCCTTCACACATTTTCTATTAGTAAACTTTCTTTTTTCTCTTTCTCGTCTATTTACAGGACAGAGTAACGTTCCGAAGAATCATTGTAAAAAACAATGCCAAAAAGAGAAAAATGTATGAAAAATTTATTGGGTCATTGCCATTCCTTAAATCTTTAGAAGTAAGCTTTCTATTACGTTATTGTAATGCCTGTAACAGAGGTCCATGATAAGATCCTTCCTCTACCAAATTTAAATCTGGAGTTAACATTTTATCCAGATTTAAATTTTGCATACTTTTGTTTAGGAGAAAGACTATATTTATAAATATTCAGGACAAGAGCCATAGTTAATACTGTGTACAAATGGATTTTCTTTTTGTTTTTTAATTTTTATCTTCTTTTTTCTTAAGCTTATTTTTTACTGCAGTTTAGGCATTAATATTACCGATGATTTAGAAGATTGTAAAACCTTTTAATTTAACAGTTATATTTTTAAATGCATACTTTTTCTGAAAATAATTTTGGAAGGTTTGGATGTGTAAACTTCTTACAGAAATGGAAGTATTGGTAACAGACTTTGCCATTARGATTATAATATACCGATATACCCTTTGGAATGCTATTGAACAATTGTTCCTATGTCTTTTTTAATGAATATCAGCACAGGGAAAGAAAGATATGCTGCTTTATATAAAGATTTGTGAAGTGTTAAAGGACAAAATATAATTTAATATTGTAATGTTAATGGATTATTTCTTGTCTTTTTTTTTAATTAAGGTATCTGAACGTTTGAAAGTTGTTGATGTGATTGGCACGAAAGTATACAAAGATGGAGAACAAATCATTGCTCAGGTATAGTTGTTGTGGTTGTTTATTACTTGGTTTAGGGCTTTTTTTTTTCATTTCAATTACCGTATTAGGTATAAAGAGTACATGATTTTTAACTAGTTTTTTCTTTGTCAGAAGAAACTTAAACACAATGAATCAGGTGTATAAGAGAGCTGATCATCCTGTTCAGGAGGTGTTTTCTATTTATGATCCTTTAAATGCATTCCTTTCTGTATAAATGAATAAATCAATAATTTTGTATAGTTTGAGATGCAAACTGTGCAGAAGAACTTCTGTTTGCATTAAGGACTGAACATTTATCTTGTTTCTGTTGTATAAATGCCATAATCATTAGAGGAGGAATCTAAAAGGAAACCCTCCAGGGTTTCCACTGAGACAACTGAGATAGTCTTGCCCTAAAATGTTTATTGGAGATCAGATACAGCCTTTGCAGGCTTGTTTACGTTGGAATATCTGTTGTAAAAATCATCTGAGTTGAATACATAGGGAGAGAAAAAATGAGTAAGGATATTAAAATCCTCAAAAACAGTATTTTCTCCTGCATTTTATCTAAGGCACAGTCGATTATGCCTTTTCATAGAAAGGCCTTACTGTCAGTTCGGTATAGATATTTTGATCCTTTTGTGTCATGAGTACAGATTTCACAGTAAAAGTAAYTTATTTTGCAGTAGGTATCAAAAAGGCAAGGCACTGGAGGTGAATACTTTAATGCTACCGTTAAGCTGCTTCTTCAGTAGCATTCCTTAATGCTACTGTTAAGCTGCTAAAAAGCAACTTCACATTWTCCTTACCCGCTTTGTTTTTTCCCTTGAAGGGTGACATGGCTGATTCTTTCTTCATTGTGGAATCTGGAGAAGTAAGGATAATAATGAAAAGAAAGGTAAAACATTCCTAAAATATATAGAATTTTGTGGGGCTTTCTAAATTTTGATGTGTTCTCAATATTAAACACTCATGTCTGTCATTACCATTATTGTTAATTTTACATATAAAATTAGGCATTCAGCAAATCTCTCTGTCCTTCTCTCCCTCATTCTCTATCTTTTTAACCTGGTATTTCAGGGTAAACAAGACGTAGAAGAGAATGGAGCAGTTGAAATAGCTCGATGCTCAAGAGGACAGTATTTTGGAGAACTTGCTCTGGTGACCAACAAACCACGAGCTGCTTCCGCCTTTGCTCTTGGCACTGTCAAGTGTTTAGGTAATGTTCAGTGATATTTTATATCTAATGTAAAATGGTTGCTTCCATTTTGAACTGTGTCTTTCCTTGAGAATATAAGATTTAATTATATTTACCTAATAACAAGTAAGACTTTTAAACTACACATCTATTACTAAATATTTCTATTTACATTAGGAAAAAAATATTTACAAATAGTAACTGGGATTAAGCACAAATTCTCCAACGTTTTTCTAGTTGTATGTGGCTAAGAATGGTTTCAAGGGACTGCTGAGAGAAGTGCAGCAAATCTTTTAGAACTGTCAGAAAAATCTCTCCAAGATTCTAGAAACAGAGAAGGAATTTCCCTTCTCACTAGACCATCACCTGAGAAGTAACTGTGTAGTAAAAAATTTGTTCCATTTTATCACCATGACTTTAACAAATCCTTTGCCTTTGCCAGCCTGTTAATTTAATCATGCTGTCACACTGTAGCCTCAGGCACAGGAAAGCAAAACCCATCGGAGCTGAGCTCATGGATGACCTCTTTTCAGTCCACTCGTTTTTCTATGTCTGAAGTTTAGTTTCTGAATGTTTGCATTCAATTAATGGGAAAAATGACAAAGTACAGGTTTAGCTTTCTTGAATGACAGCCCTTTTACTAAGCTAGTAAACCAATTTTTTCCACTTCTCTATAAAATTATTATTTTTAAAATCCTTATCACCAAACATACACAGCTGAACAGACAATAAAGATCAAAGATGGGGAAGAACAAGAGGCAGGGTGGGAAAGAGCCTTTCATCACGCAGTATGAGTGAATGCACAGGTCTCTGGCACTGCCCAAGTAGTGAAGATCTTCAATTTTTCTTAGCAGCCATGAGACTACAGGCCACCAGGTTGAAAGCAGACAAGTATAATGTTTCCTGCACAGCCTATTAGAAGCAGGAGTAAAATAGCAAGGAAATACAGCCACAACATCAGCAAATGATGTATTTTATTGAAATCACAATTGAAACTATGTTCTGCGGAGGAGTTCAGGCACTCCAGAGCTCTCCAGCAGCTCTTAGATCACATAGACTTTAGCCTGAAAATATTTTCAAAATAAGGAACCCAGCTAGTAATAAGTTAATTTATAAAGCTCCAAGACTGCAGTATGTTAGCTGATACTGTCCTTGCTACGGTGTTTCCCTTCAGTGTAAATAAAGTATATGCCTCAGTAATATCTTTCCTATTATCATTTAAAATTCTGCATTGGCCTGTCCTAAACACCAAGATTTGGGTCTGCAACTGACAAACACATTATATTTTTCTCTTCCTCTCCGCTTTTATCTTAGTTATGGATGTTCAGGCGTTTGAAAGGCTTTTGGGACCTTGTATGGAAATTATGAAAAGAAACATTGCAAACTACGAAGAGCAGCTAGTTGCGCTGTTTGGAACAAACATGGACATTGCTGATCCCAGCGCGTGATCCATGGAGCCRCGAGATCTGTTACGAGAAAAGAGCACAGTAGTGGTTAGTCCACTGAGAAATTGTCTCTCTTCCTATAGATGCCAAGCATTTTCTGTGATTTTGGGAGTGGGTTTTGGGGTCTTTTTTGGACTTACTACAACGGAAATACTAGTAAACAAGAGAGGAATTTAATAAACTGGGGACTTGGTTGTTAAAAGTGCTCCGCATTGCTGGTAGTAGCACAGCACCTTTGAAAATCAAGTCCTTTACGTGCAGCGTTCCCTTAAAGAGCAGATTTCAAGAAACCCACATGCGATGAAATTGTTAAACCAGCTTCTGTTCTTCAAAATGGTTCAATTTTCTGGAAAGACTGTTAGTTTGAATGTGATATGTTGGAAGTATTAGTGCACACAAAGTGTTTATATGTATTAATACAGAAGATATACAGTAGTTATTACTTTCTGACTATTACAGTTGTCATGATTTTATGTTGCATTTATCACAGATGTAGTGAAACACAAGAGTAATCGTAAGATAAAGCATGATAATGCATTTTGTGTGACGCTCATGACCCAAATCTGGTTTTTAACATTTTGTAATTTGGTTTAAAGTCCTCTTTGTTTAATATGTCATGTTTCAGCACGACATTGCAATATCTTATGCAATTTAGAGGACTTGTATATTTTTGCAATAAACTGCATTTTTTATTAGTTACATGTATTCTGTACATTCTGGAGTGAGGATAACTGACAAATTAACCCTGATGCTTTAAAAAGCAAAGGTATAGATCATTATCATGTTCTACCTAATCATGAATAACCTGTATTTTTTTTCCTTCTCCCTTGTTTTCTATTTATGCATTTTTGTCTTCTCTATCTCTGCTTGTTCTCCTGTTATTTCTTTTTTAGATCTCATCTTTTGATTTGTTAAATCTTGCCCCATTTGAATCRAATGATCTCTGTATATCTCTCCTCTTAAATCTGATCTTAGTTATCAAAGACCAGATCAGTTAGGAAGTGATCGATATCGAAAGCTGTACCAAACTGAGCTTGTTCTTGAAAATCATTATCAGCAAGTACAGAAACATTTTWAATTTGAAAGACCATTAATTTAAAAGTTGAATGGAAGTTTGAAAAGTATGTTGTCCTTAAAGCTGGCAGGTCCTACCTTCAAAAATCTGTAGGTCATCATAAAATGCCTTTTTGACCACAACGGCGTGGGAAACCTTCCRAGACTGAGGAGAGAGAATATCACCTTAATTAAGAGCACAGGGCTCATTGCTCATAAAGGTCTGTGGCTGGAAATTTCAGGCACGGTCTACTTTTAATACTGTTTATCTGGTGGTGTTCATGGAAAACTAGTGCACGTAATGGCAATTGATAGTAGTTCTGCCAAAATGACATTAAAGAATWTTAGGATGGTTGCTTGTGCCCTGTTCCAAACACCTGAACGTTTTATCTTTCCTTCTTAGATAATGGCTTTTCTAATGCCATATATTTGTGTATGCTGATGTAATTATTATCCTATAGCTAGTGCTATGTTCTGGCAGTTTATATAATCATACCTGAGTAAGAAAATATGATTATATAATACTACTTCAATATATAATTTATATCATAGAGAATGGTATAAATTATCAAACAAATTATTAAGAAAATACAATCCTAGCAAAATTCACAGKTGTCTTTTTTATAACCTACAAATCTGGTACGAGTAATTCCAAATATATAACTTGCCTTTGTACTTTTGATTTATGGGGAAATTAAAAAAAGAGAAAATTCTTGCACCAGAAGGAAATAATCAGGTAACCAAAATCTATGCTCTCATCATTCTATATGCTTTAATCTCCAAAAGTTACCTATACTTTGCACTAGCTTAATGTGATTAAGAAGAATGCTAACAATTACTTGTATGGCAGTAAACTACAATCAAGGCCATAAACGCCAGTCACAATATTTTCAATATTGTTGGTTATATTTAAAGTTTCCTTACAATAAACAACACTTTTATATATATAAATATACGCTTATTGATATCGTTGTGTTTTAATTTTATTATCATAAAGTTACAAGTGAACTGTTTATATTTATTTATTAAAACATTCATAATTCTTAACACTTTCATGTTGATTTTCATCAATGAGGCTTTGCAGATACCCTCTGTACTCAGGATAGATCTTAGGCTGGTGCAGTAATATGCTTCCTGTTTGATGATGTGCTTGCAGTTTATATTCAGGAAAAAGCTGTGGTAGTGGGGAATGCCACATGTCAGAGAGCCACAAACTTTGGATTTCCCCAGAGTGTCCCAAAGTATGGCTTAATTTTGAAGCAATTTATTGTGCAGTTCTTGGCAACTGGATGATTTTTGGAATTTTCCTTTATGATGACAACAGGAGTTTTCTTTTGACAATAACAGAGCAGTCACTCTGTGTGTTTCATACCAATATTACATCCTTCATCAGTTCTCAGCACCCGGGATTTCTCCTGGATCTGTTTCTATGCACAGCTCAAAAAGGCTAGTCCGAGTGTCACAAATGTAATGTTTGTCCTAAGAAGGAAATCACACAAAGTTACTGATTTTTATTGTTTGGAGCTATCAAAAAAAGACAGAGTGCAAATAATCTTAAATAATTCTATATCATTTTCACTTTATGGGAGTATGTGTGCCCATATGTAGATTGCCTGACACTTCTGTTTTTATTGTCCTTCTTACTAGCCTGGTCCTGGTTCCTAAAGGAGCAGGATTTAGGTACTTGGCACGTCCCTGTTAGTCTTTCTGTTCCTTGCTTCTCTCCCCACCTCACTGGCAAATTTTGCAAACCTGTCCATGATTTAAGCAAACTTGACAAGTGGCTGAGATCTAGAGAGGAAAACAAAATGCTCCAGCGAGTTCTTTGGAAATGTGCCCTGCTGCGTGAGGAGAGAAGCGCCAGCGAGGAGAGCAGGTCAGTGAGAGCAGGGCAGGGGGAGCTCCCATGCTGCCGGCACCGGAGAGGCCACATGGCAGTGAGTGTTGACACATGCCCCAACCATGAGGAAAGCATCAACCGCAGCCCTCAGGCCATCACAAGACACAAACCCTAAGGAAGCCAAACTTCCTGGCCCTCGTGCTCATGCCGCTGCTTCTTTTTAATGGTATTTGTTTGTGCTCCGTGAGATTCCATCCAAACTCCTCTGGGGTTGATGTTTCTGAAAGCGTTCCCTTCTTGAGCTCCTGTCTGAGGCCCATCAATGGCTCGTGGTGTCAGTCTCGGCGGCTTGGCTGCTATCAGGAGCACTGTGGAGCCTGCTGCATCTCAAAGCATTTATCACTCCATCATCTTCCCTCTCCTTATCTTTTGCATGCAGTGCAAATATGAAGTCATGTGGGTTGGTTTTTTGTTTTTTTTTTAAATATTTGGTGCTTTAAGTTTCCTCTAAAGTCACTTTGGGATCAGTTACTTTACTATTTGTGCCATCTTGTGTCATTTATAACTCACTTTCCCTGGCAGACAATGAGGAGCCACTGTGTTTTTAATACCAGGGAGTTTCCAGATGTGCCAAATTAATATCTGTTGTTCATCCTCCACATACCTGGAACAAGAAATTTCTCTCTGTTCTTATTTTTAGACATTTACTGCCTTTGCTGAACTATGTGCTTTGCCGAAAGCCAGTTCATCACAGGACGGACGTCGTTACACAGTCTTGCTAAAGTTGTTACGCTAGTTTAAAGCTCCTTTTATCCATTTTTATCCATGTGGTAGTTACAGGCATAGGGGGGGTTGGGGATTTTTGGGGGGAGGAGGGGAGTTTACAAGATGTTTTCCACTCTTGTGTCTGTAGCTCTTCAACTAAGCTACCCTGCAGTTTTCCCTGGCAGGAATGGGTTGTTGCTTTGTATGCTTTGTATGAGAGGACAGAATTGTGTTATAAAATGTAGGATTTCTTTTAAGTCAATGGATTGGATTTCCTTCAGACATACACCAAGTCTAAGTTTTTCATCTACTTTTTTGGCCCAAGAAGGTGCTTCACAGACTGGGCACTATTCCTTCATGGAGAAATGGGATGGAAAAGAGAATAGAAAAGGTGCAGATTAATCTTGAAAGAATATGAAAAGCCAAAAAAAAAAAAAATCCCTCTGACAAGTTTCACCAAACTGTATCTTTTTTTTTTTTCCTTTGTTGGTTTGTCCTTGTGGAGCAAGATGGAGTGACTGTCTTGAGGACAACGGCGTTACCTTCGCATTCCTTTAGTTCCTGTTCTTGCTTCTGGCTGCAACTTTGATAAATATCCTACCTAATATCCTAAATATCTCTACAGTTACGTCCATGCTAGTAAGTTACATTAGCCCGAGACTATTTGCTAGTGCTGAGGCATCAAATGGGCAACATTCATCCTGTTTTTAACTGTTTGTGTGAGCTAATCTACAAGCTGTCCTATAAACTTTTTCCAGCTTACTGTATGGGGTGGGCATGTGTGGGTGACCCACTGGAAATGGTCCTTGGCCCCTGCCAATTCCCAAACGGTATGCAGGAATTATTAGCAATCGGCTCAAGCAAAAACTGTGTCAGGGCTTTGCCAGCAACTTTGGAGTATAGAGGACTGTGTTCCCATACCCAGGATCACACCCTGGCTCTGTACCTCAGCACAGAGAGAACTTACGGATCCTCTGTGTTCGTAGGCTCTTCTTGCCAGCAGGGCAGGGAGGGGATCCTGCCCCTCTGCTCAGCTCTGGAGAGGCCAAACCTGGAGCATTGGGGGCAGCTCTGGGCTCCCCAGGACAAGAGGGACGTGGAGCTTCTAGAGAGGGTCCAGTGGAGAGCGACAGAGATGATGAAGGGACTGGAGCATCTCTCATATGAGGAAAGACTRAGSGAGCTGGGCCTGTTTAGCCTGGAGAAGGTTGAGAGGAAATCTGATCAATATGTATCAATATCTGAAGGGGCAATGTAGGGAGGAAGGGGCCAAACTCTTCTCAGGGGTGGCAGTGACAGGACAAGGGGCAGTGGGTCCAAGTTGAAACCCAGGCAGCTCCATGTGCATGTGAGGAAGAACTTKTTTGGTGTGAGGGTGCCAGAGCCCTGGCMCAGGCTGCCCAGGGAGGCTGTGGAGTCTCCTTCTCTGGAGATCTTCCAAAGGCGCCTGGATGCCGCCCTGTGCCCCGTGCTCTGGGTGTCCCTGCTGGAGCAGGGGGTTGCACTAGCTGATCCCTAGAGGTCCATTCCAACCTCAACCATTCTGGGATTCTGGGATTCTTTGGGCTGTGATAGAGGGATTTCTCACTTATTTCTCTTATGGGTTGTAGCTGGATCTGCCGGGTCTTTGTTCCGACACCAGTTGCGTTGCCGCTCCAGTCTTCCCTGGGTGCAACAGCAGCTCCTTTGCTCCACGTTCCCAGAGCACCTTCCGAGGAGCAAGAGAAGAGGTGAGGCGTGGGAGCTGGTGTGTGCAGAGTCACTGCGTCACTGGGACGGACCAGGAGGGAAGGAGCGGGAGCAGCTGTAGGAGGAAGAGAAGTCCTTGTGAAAGAGGTGAGCAGGGCAGGGTGGGGAACAGGCTGTAACGCGAGCAAAGGTGAAAGCTGATCCCGCATTTACAGGGCGCTCAGTTAATTGGTGAGGGTGGATATCTGGACGCAGATGTGAAAGCCCTGGTAGCAGAATTAAAATAATGACACGGTGTGTTTCCAAGTCAGCAATAGATGCTAGGTCGTAAATGAATTGGCTTTGGACAGCAGAGATTAAAAGTAGATAGGTGCAAAGCTACTTTACTAAAAATCACTTTACTGATGTGATTTTGAAAGAAATCTTACATTTTCTGAAAATCTATCTTTTCTTTGCTGGCAGTTTTAAGATTCCAATAGCTAGAATAAGACATGGCAAATGCAACTTTATTTACATATTTTCTGTTTACGTRGAATATTTCCTGGTCGTTTATGCTTCCTGGTTGCCATCCATAAAGCGACAAGAACTCACAAGGAACATCTCCCAGGCCCCCACTTGGCTTCCAGCCTCTCTTCCAAGAGCCAAAATAACCGAAGCAACAAAGCCACGAAGAAGAACGTTGGTGCTGAACAGTATTGATTGATCCCCTGAGCACCTATTTGTCTTGGCCATAGAGCCAGGCAAAGCAGGGTGTGTGGCGAGAAGTACTGGTTTTTAATTAAGCACTAGACATGCAGAGCAAGAAGTATTGGTTTGACATAAACAGCCTTAATTCTGGCATTTACAAGATCAATGTTTGACTTTATAACGAAAGGGGGTTTAGTAAGAAATCTTTGATAGAGTTTTGTGGGTTCCACTGCCATCTGCTGCACAGGGAACCTGCTCTTTTACTCCTGTTTTCTCACAGGGTGTGTTTTCACTTGCAATATGCAAAGGGGAAAAAAGGAGATTTTAAAATAAGAAGGGTGTTATGATTCTGTTCTCAGATTCTCAAAACTACCGAGACTTTCCCATGTGCAAGTTTTTAATGTAAAAGTCATAGG